AGGAAAGAAATGGAAGATGAACCGTTTCACGCTCCGTTTCACGCTCTAGCAGAAACCGCTGCGCATAAATCGAATTGTAAAATTGCGAGAAAAAGTCCCTCCTCTCACAATGCATAGCCGGAAATTGCCTACGCATAAAGTTGGTTTACGATTCAGGAAAAACCTTTGCTCTGAATCGCGTGATGACCTTTCGGTTATTCCCATATATACTGTCATAAAAAAAAATCATTGATGAAGAAAACTGGTCGAGTATTCCATATAACGACGGCTTCACGAAAAAAGTTAATAAACGGCTGGATGGGTTGACCATTGCTGTCGAACTCTATATATACGACAGTGTCGATGAGTGACAGTGGATTCCGTGTCCTTGGCCTTGTTTCGCGTGACTGATGACCTGAGGTGACTGGGGCTGACTGATTACGCTTTGTTAACCTGTCCTCTAATCGCGAAAAAAACGACAAACTGGGGAATTGTTCAAACAGCCTATTTCATGAGCTTGAAGGATTTCAATAATGGGTGCTCAAGAAAAACCTGACGATATCTACAAGGTCTTAATTCCCGCCTTTTTAAATTTTCAATGACAAGAAATGCTTCCCTTTGTCGTGTGGCCCAAATAAACGTGGAAAAGCTTCAGTCGAAAAAAAATTGTTCTACGGAGAAGAAAGATCCAATTCTTTGAAGAAAATTACTGTACAACAAACAGCTTGCTTCATTGAGAACCTTTTTGCAATCGGTTCATAGAAATTATTTTGATGAAAAATCAATGCTTTGACTGTACTGAAATTGGCTGATGATGGGCCAAACGTCTTCTGAATCTGAGACCGCAGGAAGAATCTGCTAGCAATCTAAATAAATGTAATTTGGTTTTTCTATGTACCTCACGCTTCATTTGGAATTATTTTATGGCCTTGGTTCAGTTTTTCTACCTGAAAAGGCTTATTTAAAATTAGGGTGCGGCGAATATATATTCGCATAACACGGTTTCGCATGTACGAGAAAAAAAACAGAATTTCTAAATATATGGACAAAAAAAAATAATAATCCCGAGGACCTTGTGATACTTGAATGGCTTATCTTTGATTTGATTTCCGTTTGATATTATAATTATTTTATAGTGAATTGAAATTCAAGAACGTAGCTTATTCACGTACATTTCTGAACGTGGATTTTTAATTGCAGAAGCAAGTGAACGTGAAATTAAAAAAATACTTGATGCAATTTTGGAAAAGTTTTTGCAGTAGAATTGATTTCATTAGCATTTTTAATATTCCCGTCACTTGTAAGTAGAGGTTGAAATTTCTGGTGTCGTTGATGAATTCCTTTTTTCTCGTTTCAGCCGGATTTCGCAGTGGACCAACAAGAGCTGCATCTGGACGAAGAAGAGTTTTTGCCGGAAGAACAAGAACAAAATTTGGTCTTTCCAGACAAAGCTCGTCATCCGCCGATCATCATGAACAAACCAATCACAACAACAACAACTGCTGCTACAACAACGACCACAACACTGCGCCCAACAACGACGATCCCCACAACCACAACGACGCCAAAACCTTCCGGCATTTTCAGTTCCAGCATTTTGCGCAAACGAAACGACCCTTCGCTGAGAAGAATGCTTTTGAATCGTAGATTCGGTGCTTCCGCAATTGCTGCTGCTAAAAAAGAATCTATCGCCGAAGAAAAATCTCCTCAAAAGACAGTGAAAACATCTCCTTCGACAATTGACAATGCAAAATCGAAGCCCGAGTCCGCGGTCACTGAAGAAGCTTTACCGGTGTTCAAGGCGGCATCTGAGGCGACACCTGTCGAGAACACACCTGAGCCACCGTCAGTCAGTATCGAGCCCTCTCCCCTAGATGTCACTCAGGAAGTAGTAAACCCGCCGTTGCAAATCGCTCCTGTTCCGATCGAACCATCAGAACCAGAGGAACCCAGCATACAGCAGATGGAGTCGGATTTCCCTGAGCCTGAGTTGCACATCGAAAGTGTCAACAAGTTGAGCAAATCTGAGCATGCTGCCGAAGAAAAAGAAGTTGTACATCAAATACAATTCGATTTCCCGGAAGCCCCAGCAGTCGTAGCACCCAATAAAACGCCGCAAGAATCTCAAGACCCTCAACCCGTATTCTCCAATGATAACAAAAAGGCGATCAAAGCAGAGCAACCTGTGTTATCACCTGGGAAGCAAGAAGACAGTGTCGTGAACCGTGTCGTGTCAGTTTCAGTGTCGACTTCGTCATCGTCATCGACGTCATCCTCGCGACGCAAGCGGGAGATTTCCGCATCGTCGCCGAGGAACAAACACATGGTTTCATCTCTGGTGGACATTTATGGGTCATGGAACAATGTGGAGTCTGCTCTGCTCCATGAATTGCGGTCTGGGATCGCAGAGTCCCTGTGTCCACCACAAGCACTGCCCGTGATTACGTCGACAGTGACAGCGACGACGACAGCGACGAGTGTCGTCACCATCACTCGAACGATGCTCGTCACCGAACACCTCTAGTCCTTTGAAAACATACCTTGCTTCTCATTCCCGTCAAAGAAAGTCCTCCTCTCGGGTACTCGAGTTCCTTCGGAGCTTTCTTTTCAATGCATCTCGAGTATTGTTCAGACACTGTTTCAAATGTGTTTTTCTTCGGAAATATGTCAAGTGGTGACATCTTCAATGACACAATTGATATAATTCTCAGCAATATTTCAATCCTGGAAATAATGAGATTTTTTCATTTCCACGGAAATATGTCAAGTGGTGACATCTTCAATGACACAATTGATATAATTCTCAGCAATATTTCAATCCTGGAAATAATGAGATTTTTCATTTCCACAAGGCAAAGTATGACACTTGCTTCTTAAAAAATAAGAAACAGTGCAAAAAAAAGCGATGGTGTGACTCTTGTTCATTAAAAATTTTAGTATCAACAATACCCGGTAGTTCAGATCTGACAACATTTTTTCAGATGATGCCTTTTTTGCTAATTTAAATTTATAAATATCACATCCAAGGTTAAAATGAGCCATTTAAAAACGTTGCATATTCTTTAGCTTAAACTATTCATTTTAACGCTAGGTTATTCGTTTGACACTGTCAAAAGAATCTGCTAGGGAAAAAAAATGAATTCATTTGTTTAATTCACTGCACACCTCATTTAGACATAGTTTGTGACTTAGATTGAGTTATCTCCCCTGAATTGACTTTTTAAAATTAGGGTGCGACCTTTATAATCGCATAACGCGATATCTTGAATGAGGCAAGTACAAAACATTTCTGGATTTTTCAAAAAAAAAAAGATCGAATGAAAAAGGACTTCCCGCGATGATTGATTGCAAATTTCATCAATCCATTTTCGATGGGAATTTTCACGAAAAACGGAGATTCATTTCACGTCGGAATGGTCCAAAATGGAAGTCTTTTCTATTTTAAACGTCATCAGTTGGTTGAAAAGATTTTTTTTATGTAGTGTTGAACAATTTTACAAGGTAAAAAGAGGCTGTCGTCCGTACTTTTAGATGATGGACAAATTTTGCTAATTTTTATTGATTGCAATGATGAGCGGGGGAGTTCACTGAATATTAAGTTAATACTCTTCCAAATGCATATTCTATTTTACAAGAAAAAAAGGCATTGAGCTTGACTGAAGTCTTTCTGAATGACGACGAGTGCATATCATGTCAGGGCTCATTCAAAAGCTCGTTCCCGAGAAAATATAATCGCATTTTAGAACCATATTGTGCATGGTTCAACTCACGCGGAAATACTGTATGAGCTTTTGAACAAGTCCTGGCAGAACCAGATCACTAATTGTATTACTGCATTTTTTTGCCTAATCGGAAAACGCGTGTTGAGCTGTGGTATTTTTTTATGCGTGCGAATGATGAAAAGCTTTGTCATTATTTTCGAAGTGTGGTTGTTGAAGTTCGGGAAATTGCCGCGAGTGTACGTGCATATGTCGTGCAAAGTCTAAGCGTCAGGAATCAAAAACGTTTACTTGTTTTTTTCAAATGACGCTTTTGGCAATTTTTCACGTGCCAGGTAACATGTAATGCAACTTCAGTCTCGTGAACAGCGGACAACATCTCTCCAAAGTCATCAAACGCCGCATGTCAACAATCATTCAAGAAGTTTCCACAATTACTGGCTATTCTTAAGGCATGCTTGGTGGGTTATATGTTGGAATGTTGATAGAATAGATTCTATCCTTTCTCAGACAGCTCTTCAAAGTTCAATATGCCTAGCTAGTTTTTCAATCTGTAGGAATAACTGGAATGGTCAAGAAGTTTTTTTCCCTATAGCCAGAGGTGTTTTTATTGAAACTTGACTTCTTGATTACAAAGGTAATGGATGAATATACAGTACATGTATTTCTGTTTACAAGTGTCTGCAACAGGGTTCAGACCAGCAATTAGTAGCAATAGAATAGAATGCAGCACCTTTATACAGTACAGATCTGGGGCCACTAGCAAAAGGCTTATGACTTTCCATGAACAGAACGGGAACGAGGCATTTGAAAAGGTAAACAACAACTGACCAGAAAGATATGATGGCACACTTTCTGCAAAACCCAGTTGCTGAATGAATGCCAGTTGCACATGGAAACTATGCACAAGGATGAGGAATTATTAACATGTTTTGGGACACACTAAAACAATTTAGATGACAAATGTATGGATGATTAGGCTTGTCAACCCATGCTGCAAACCTGTTGAGCATTTAAAAAAATTAATGCATTACTTTGATCAAAAGCAGATGAAAACCCATGTAATTTCACTTTTGCATTTTGTGGCTCAGCTGGCATAATGAATAAAATGCATTAGAAATGCCACAAACCTCATTCTGATCAATCTGATGTATGATACAAGAGTTGAAAACAAAGGTTCCATAATTTTTAAAGATCTCAAAATTTTGAAACTTGAGGGTAGTAAGTTTTTATTTGTCGAGAAAGAGTGATGATGGTTGATCAACATTTGTCAAGGATGAGCAGTGAAATTCAAACGAACGCTTTTTCAAGATTTTTCAAGTTTGGTGATTTCATTTCTCGAAACTCATTGTAAATGTCAGACATTTCCACAGGCAACTCTCAGAAAACAAAATTTTATGATATCATTTCTCAAAAATCTTTGTAAATATCAGACATTTCCACAAGCAACTCTCAGAAAACTCAAAGACAGAATTTAAATACTTAAATTGGCTTTTCTCAGTTCGTAAAACTAAAATCAAATCTTCATCTCGATTAGTTCCACGCGATAGCATAATACGACTACCATTTGCAATTGAAAAGTCTTTCAGTCAGCTGACATGCTGTATGTGACTTGATTTTTATATTGTTGAAATAAGCTAAAAGGAACTTAAAAAAAAACGTTGTCAGCCCATGAAGGAAACCACCGTGAGAGCAAAGTTGACAGATGCAAACAAGATGCAAGAGCAGCAAACAGGATCCGAGCCGGTGAAGCATTTGGCGAAATTGCGGTACAAATCCTCGGGCTTTTCAGCAGGACAAAATAGGCAATACATTTCAGAAGCACTTTGCCGACCTACGCGATTATTTGCAAGCGATGATGCACTGCTGTTTCCTGACGACGAGTCTTCGCTGCTGATTTCTGAAGAATTCAATGATTGGTGATGCTGATCCATAATCGCTGTGACGCACGGCTGCTTGCTCATCAGAGATCCATAATCCCGACTGAATTCAGCACGACACAAAAATGAAAACCGAAGATTTTAAATTCCAAATGATCAATAATACTTCAAATGAAAAAACATCAACATTCAAATCCTTGCACTGCTTCGAGAAAGAACCACTTACAGCATTCAAGACTATATTTCTTTCAAGAAATGCCACATCTAACCAATGACGCAATGTTTCATTTTTGAAAAATTGCAACTGGATTTAGCAGACATGCTGTCATGTTGAATCGTAAATTCCGCTCTTGCAAAAGTTCTTTTTTATTTTTTTGACATTCAGGAAATAAATCATCGACTGACCTGTCATGCGAAGAAAACCGGTCCGATTCATTAAGAACGTTGTGACCGATTTCCACCAAGCAGTCCGCAAAATTCTCTTTGTTAAAATTCACAGTCTCCTCTTGTTTTTGCTGCAAAAGTCGCTCTTGGAAATCCTCCAACTTGATATTCGAGGTTGGAAACGCAGACGATTTGGCAACTTGAATTAGCAACACGTTGCCAATTAGTAGAAATAACACTTGCAACACTCCCCGCGTCATCGACACACTTGGCGTCATTTTTTTCTTATACTGAATAAAAGTTTTCGATTTTTTTTCAAAAATCAAGTATTCTTCAACGCGACGTGGCATTCAAATGTCAGTCTAGACTGGCAAAAACGAACCGATTTGTGTCAGGAATATTTTTTTCTTTTTAGGTCAGCAGCGAAGAAATCGAAAGCTTTCTCTGCTTTGTTCCATGAGTCAGCTTTCCGAAGATTTTCTTCCGCGAAAATTCCGACGTGACAAGATGGCTCGTCATCCTTCATCATCTGCGACCTGGGCCAGCAGGTTGGAAAATAATCAAAATCTGGACCTGTCTTCAAATAGCTTTGAATAATAAGCCACAATATGAGACATCGACGGAAGCTTACGCATAATGTCCTTGTATATTTTTATTCCACTGGTATGTGAAATTAAAACTTATTTATAGAACCAAACACTCCGCGGAAGTATTGGGGAGAACAAAAATACTTCTGTAACAAATAAACATGTATGTTGAATGACTCTTAAATCTCTGGGAAAGCGTACAATATATAGGTTTTAAATTCGACTCGTTCTCCTGCTGCTGCTTCACTGTTTATCTTTTGAAAATGAATTCCAACCATGTCACTTGGGTTTTTTCATTTCATTTTTTTTTCTCAAATGGAAAGATTCTGTAAGTTTTTCTGAGGAGAGTATATTCAATTTAAGGAAAGACTTGCTTTTGCAGGAATGAAACTTGCCCTCCTCATGGAGAACCTTTGCTTGCTTTCTATTATTGCCATCTAATTGAAAAATAATTAAAAATAAACAATAAAGCTTGTCAAATGTAATTTTTAAAATGTTCAAAGTGAAGCTAATAATGTAAATGAAGGGAAAAAGTGAATTAGACTTATTAATGGTTTTTATGTATGCTTTACACATGTTTTTATTGGAAAAAAATCTGGCAAAGCAAGAATTCTTGTGTTGCAATGTCTTGACCTTCTTCCAAAAACAGTTGATGTGGTAATCCTCATGTCACCATTTCTCAGTCAAACAAATACATCTCCTACTCATACCTAGAGCCCAAGTGTAACTCAATTCCACATTTTTCTCTTCATTTAGCAAGCTTCAAGTTGGATATGGAAAAAATTGCATTCAAAAAGGTTGAGAGATATTATGTTAATCTGTATGTCAGCATTTCTCAGTCACACAAATAAGTCTCAAACTCATACTCAGAGTCCCACTTCAGTGCTCATTTCAACATAAAATTTAAAAAAAGGCAGCAGCAAACATTTATGTGAATGAGTGATGACTAAGACAAAATGAAAAGACCAATTTTGGGCACTTAGGCAGAGTATAGAACAAAATATTTTGCCTGTGGCACAAAACTTGCAGAATAGCTCATTTTGTGAAGACCCAGTCAAGTGTTATAAACCTGCAGCCTGTATCATTTCAAACTTCCCTTTCTGTCATCTTTGATTTTGAATCATCCTAATCTCAGTATTTCTTTTGTGTAAGAAATGTGAGATAGATTCATGTAAACCTACATCAACTTCAGTTATTCCAGTTGCACCTCTTTACAGTTCAATAAAACCATGTAGACCACAGATAAAACCTTATTTTGAAAACAGTTCTCAATGTGTCATATGGCAATGTTATTTATCAGGATGCAGTTGTAAGATACAATAATTTGGTTCAATAATGATGATTATTCTTATTACATTGGTTGTATGCATCTATCTTGTGTCTTGTTATTATATTGTTTCTATCTAACTGTTGACATTCTTGTAAAATGTGTTGTATAGTGTTGCATTGTTTGCAAAGTATCTGGGAATAAAATTTTAAAGCATACAAATAAAGATATATATAGTATTTCTCTCCCTTTTACAAATTTCAAAACAACCCTGAAGCACAGAAGCATTCACTTGAGTATTATCTTTCATTCCAGAACATTCCTTTCTTCATTTTTAGGGGCACCATCTGTTGAAAATGCAGGAGGGTGGTTATTGCTACAAATGCAGTATATTACTGTAGAGCACTGCATGTACAGACATGCTGTGTGTTTGGCGCAGTTGGTTAGGCTGCAGGCTCTGGATTGTGGGGTTGCAGTTCAAATCCTTGAGTGGTTGTTGTTTATTCATGTATTACATTGAATGTTTGTGAGTTACTGTCCTTGTGTGTGTCTGACTGTCTTGTGAAGGTGTGTGTCTGTTCAAATGTGTGTGCCTGTAATCTGTAGAATATGGGTCCCAATTCCAGTAGCTCAAAAAACTTTTACTTTTATTTTTTAGGCAAAGTGACAGTTCTTGCTTTGCCTGTGAAGCAAGAATCCTTGCTTTGCCATGCCAGTTGCCCGCAAAGCAAGGATTCTTGCTTTGCGTGTGAAGCAAGAATCCTTGCATTGACAGCATGAGAGTTGAAGGCTATAGCATCCACAGTGGACGCAACTTGGATGCATCCAATTTGGACTAATCTAACTAGAGTCCACTGCGGACGAGTCCACTTTCAAGTCCACAGTGGGGTAAACTGGCCATTACTTTGTACGTGTCCATACAAATTTGAAATAGACCCATCCTTGATGCTTCTGGGGACTCAGATCAGTTTTCCTGGGAATAAGTTATAAAAAAATCACCCTAGCAGTTTTAGATTCTGGAAAAAATGAAAATGTTTTGTGAGTGGTCTTAATGCGCAAGGCCTTGGGTTTTCAGACAGTTGCAAGTTGTGTATCTTTTAAACTGACAATTTTCAGAAGATAATTCATAGAGTATTACTTTAATGATTTATTTCATGTAAATGTTGGTAAGTAGCGTAGGAATGATCTACAAAACATATATCTCAATTGTATATAAGCTATTCCTCTCAAGCAGACATACAGAAGGGCTGGAAGGGATTTAAATATACCCATGGCAAATTTTGGCTATTTATGTGGAAAATAATCACTCAAATTTGAATATTTACGGCAGAAATGCTCTAATTTCCCTCCCTACGCATAATTTGCTACTGCAAAAAGTATCCATTGCTGTGTTGAAACATGCCTTATTTGCAAGTTACAAGAGCTGTGGATACGAGGGTTCTAACAAAAGTTCTTGGAATAGGAATTAAACTGGCGCGTAATCAAGCTGGAAAAAAAATTATTCTTTAGGGAAAACATATTTTTGGCACACAAAAAATAAGCCCAGTTTGAAATTTTTTTAAATATTTTGCAAAATGCCCCCTGGCAGAGTTTTGCTCTCCACTCAAAAGATGAGGCGACCTTCCTGCAGTTTTTTTTTTTTTGTTTTAGCCTAGCTTTCCCCTCAGAATTTTTGAAATCAATGTGGCATCAATTCTAAGGGTTGCCTCCAGGTGTCTCAAAGTAATTCCGCCATTTTCAGCAACAGCCACCTTATTCACAGCTGCCACATTGGCCACCACTTTGGCGGCTGCAATGGAAAGTTCACCCAATAACCTTTTCTAGCAATACATTTTACAATTCCATTTTCAAAAGTAAGCAAAGAAAGCTGGTTTTTTCCTTTTAACGGTAAATTATAATGAACTTGATGACCAACTGTTGTTTGGTTGGTATTTGTATTGCCTGGCTGTGTTCATACTCATCCTTGTCATCAAAATCCATTCATTCCTTCGACTTGCTAGGATACAATGCTTGAAGCAGCCTTGTGTTGTCTACTTTTCTGTCCTCAATGAAGTGCTGTATCATGTTTTGTGCCAAGCTATGCTACCATTTGAGGTAGTTTCTGGGTCAGGCCAGTCTTATCCCGTCTTGGATCTAAAAGTCTATATGTAAGGCAACCCATCTTTCTCTTTACTTTCACTCATTGCTTACCAACTGCTTGAAGGAAGAGTTTAATGCTGCTATTTGTTCTGTTGAAGACAAGAAATTCATACTTACTATTATTTTATACGAATTTTCAAGGAGTACTCATTTGGAACAACACATCAATTAGGATAAGAAATCACCTCATCAGATTACATTGTCAGAGTCATTTTAATGAATACACTATGATGGCATAGTATTTGAATATGAGGACTTGATCAAGAGATGTATTGAAATCCTTGTATTTTCTTGTCATCTTTAGTCAAAGTCTGACAACATCCTCATTTCTTGAAAGGATCAAGCAAAAGTTCTTGAGGGACTCATCTATAAGGAATACTCAGCCACATAACAGCTGACTTGAATGTTTTCTTTCTAGCTTAAAATCTAACCTCATTATTGTCAACCATGTCTCAGTCAGAATTTGATTTCATTCAAAATAGTATTGGCTACCAAGTGTATGTTGGACTATGCTTTGTAAAGATCTCAACGGAACTCTGAGGCATAATCTTTTGTGGCTCAGTTTAACAAGGGGATTTTGGAGAGTCGAAACAGGTTAAGGAACCTAGATGAAAATTCAGTAAAAATAAAAAAAACATAAATTGCAGCTGGCTAACATGGTATTTATCCCCAGACATTACTGATCACAGTGATCAGTACTTCAGATTTACAGGATATATGCAGTTGCATTCCACTGCTTATGAGGTTAACTCAGCAGCCATGTTGCTTATTGCTTTGAGGTGCGTTTCTTCGTTTATCAATTTCTCCCTTCTCAGTACTCTATGCAAGCATTGACATGAGCAGCCCTTTTTGCCATGAGAAGGAAAACGTTTTTCAACACCCACAGTTTTGTGGCTAGACTGTCATTGACACAGTTTCTGTCCCAGCTTAGGTTTGTTCCATCACAAATACAATGGGACCCCCAGATGCAGACATGATTGGTGGTTAGACATATAATCCCTGTCAGAATGTTCACTTGTCACATCTTTTTTCCCATGGACTCCAATACTGAACAAGCATATTGAATTGGTTCTCCTGTCTAACAAACATAGGGAATAAGTCTCCAAAACTTGAACAAAAATTATTTCCCTCTTCTTCAAGGTACAGAAAAGAATAAAAAGACCTGTGCAGAAGGAAAACACAAAGCAACTAATCTTTGGAATTGAAAAGAGCTGCTCAAAAAAGCAATGATGAAGAATAAGTCTGTATAATGTGCGCAGGTGATGAAAAAACTCATGAAAAAGAATCCCAAAACTGGCATGCTTTTGATTATAAATTCAACTGAATTTATAATGAAAAGTAATTTTAATTTGTGTGAGTGTCTCAAAATTGTGATAGCTCAATATGTTCAAGAAATATCAAAATTGAAAAAAAAAATTTCAGATTTTCCTGGAAAATGTTGATGAAGTGCCCGTTATATATCTTGAGCCAATGTCCAAATTTCGGCTCAGATTATTTCAAGTATCAAGTTTCCCAAAGTTGAATTGTCAATATGTTGTGGCGCACACAGTGACACAGGTCAGGTGTGTGCACATTTTGTGTGAATAAGAACACAGTCACAACCTGTTATATACAATGCTGTGGTAAAATATTCCATAAAGAGGATTCAGAGCAGAAAATTCTGACAACTTCCTAGCAAGAATCAGTGCTTTGAAAACTCAGCTGACATCCAAAAAAAAAAAAAACGCAGGAATATGCAGGTACACCCAAGCAACTTATAGGTTTGGCTAGGCAAAAGGCATTCCGTTCCCGCCGTTATTCTTGAGGAAATATTTTCAAGACTTCTCTCGAGTACTGGAATTTCCAACTCAAAAGAACGTGAGGTATTTTTGCTTCACTGGCCAAGAAAATTGAAAGAAAATAAATAAATAAAACCCTGGTCTTTCCACTGCATGGAGTCTCCCTTTCAGATTCCCGACGGTGATTAAAATCGTAGTAGACCTTCTTGTCCTTCGAATTTAATGCCAACCACACACAAGAAGCGGGTTTCGTGCCAGGAAACATTCAAGTAAGTATCTCAAATAGGACAAGCCAAGGATGAAAGGCATTCCTTCAACTCCAGACCCATACGCCTAGATCATTTCAGCAGAAAAGAATAAGACCTGAGGATGAAATGACTCCGGTCTTTACATCGTTTCGACCGAAGCGTCATCGTCGTCGTCGTCGTCGACGGATGAGGTGGTCGTCATCATTCATCCACCTGAAATCCTCAGTGACAAGGGAGCAACCGCGACGACATCAACTCAGTTTCGGTCGTTGTGGCTCATTACACGTCGAGTGCTGAAGAAAAACGTTCCTAGCTCAAGAGTAGCTGCTGTGTATGATTTCGAAACCCTATGCACGTTTCTTGGCTTTTCAAAACATTCCAAAAAGTTGTTCCCTTTCCAAATAAGGTACTGTAAATTGCGATGATTACTTATTGAAGGCAGCTCCAGGGGATATTTTTCTCAAGAAAAAAAAACCGACTTTGAAAATTATTAATGCTTCTGAGATATGTGATGGGGATCTCCTGGATCCTCAGGTGGAGTATTATTCCTCTGACCGGCACACAAATTTCTGAAATAAATTTCAACTCAAATGGAATCAAATATATATTCAAATGAGATATACTGTATACATCACGTGGACTTTCCTGACAAGAAAATTCATACAGAGAGACGAAAAAAGTCGTTGTTGAGAGATGATTTTGTGGTACAGAGAACCCATACAACATTGAAAGATTACCCTATTGGGTAATGGAAAAATCAAAAAGTCGTTGTGCTGAGTAAAGCGTTGTAGACAAGATTTCTGTGGAGAGAGTCCATATTTTCTAGGATAAAGGTCAGAAAAGCTAAAACTGTGATTCCTTTTGAAATATTTGAGGAAATCAACCGAGTTATTCGAAGCTTTAGTTGAATCAATAAATTTAAGAATCTGAAGAATCGAATCCGACCAATTTTTAAGCGTTTCTTCCCAACTTCGCAGGTATACTGTCCTTCAACCTTTATTTTAATTTTTTGCGTCCAATAATACAGAGTATTCCATGCGCAGGTAGCAAAATCGATTATATATTTAACAATATTTTATCTGATTGATCGCGATAAATTGCGTTCGATAATTTGTCAAAAAAACCGAGGTTCATCCAATCCAACATCTACTCTGACCTCGATAAATTGCTCAATATCTAACAATATAAGATTTCAGAACGGTGTGATCCCTAATTTTTATTGGGAATCATGGACAAAGCTGTCTCATTTCCAGCACCAGAGCTTCGATTGATGATCAACTTCATCGTACAATTAAATGGATGACAAAAAGGAGGAAATTTCGATTTTAAAAATCGAAAAATATTGCCTGACCAATTGAAGTCATAGCCTTGAGGAAATAAAATAAAAATTTCAGGTATCCATTAAAATAGATTAAACTTTTTCTCAATCGTGTCAATACAATGGTAACAACTATGCTCGTGATGGTGATACAATTTAAAAAAGAAAAAACAGGGGGAGGAATAAGTGAGCATTTCAAAGATAACAGCTTAGTGATATCACTAAGCTCAGTATGCATTCATGATTGAAGAAATAAAATAAAATTTATATTCAATGACTCAGTTGAGTCGTATGATACACATGGGCAGTACTATTTTTTTCAGACGTTCGGCCTCACAGCTGTTTTCATCACTATTCTTCATTGTGTATGTGACAAATTTTTTCGTGACGAGATTTAAGAATACCGACCATCTCTCCAAACGAAAAAAATGGAACATAAATCAGCACAGAGTTTTCTTTAAGCTTCAGTTTCAATTTTTTTGAAGTTGTTTCGTCTGCAGTATTTGATATTACAGTACTGTATTGACTCGAGTACGGAATACTTGAGGTGAACGATGATCAAAATATAGAACGACACGCATTCATTAGTCAAAAATCGCACGGCATGATCGAAATATGACATTTCGGCAAAGCTTTTAAATTTCTTCAAGAATTCGGCCACAAAGGCAATGAGTGTTTTCACAAACGTAAAAGTTGTTGACGCTCGTATTTTTCTCTGAAACCGATAAAAAAAACAGCATCCCGAGATTTCACGCGCCAATAAATCAAATTGTAGCAAGAGGAGTGTCGCAAGAAATTTGCAGCTGGCGCTGGCAAGCGTCGTATATAGAAACGGCGAACCCTTAGAATCGACACGGTGGGAATTTTCTCTCTTCCTCCCACTTTCTGCACAAGCGTCGACCAGTCGACAGCGTTTTCACGCAGAACCTCAGTCGTCAACTCGAACCAGTATCGTCAGAGCACTCTTGCTTCCTGCTGTGATGAAAACCGAGAGCAAAACATTGTATTCATACAATTCGTGGAAATCTTAGCTCGAAGTTTAGTGAATCAATTTCCTAATTCCGATAGTGCGACATGAAAAAAATTCCGACTGAAAATTCCTCAAATGCGTTGGGATTTCGCGCGCATCTGCATATGCTATTGAGTTCATTACTCAGAAGAATTTCGGTCAGTTTTAGCTTTTAGCGAAAGTAATTCTCTGTAGAAATCAGCTGTGTAGAAAAGCAGAACGTTGTCTCGAACTCTGGAGAATCGAGGTGTGACTAAGGTCGTGAACAATTAAGGATCTGAATTTTCGCAGATCTCTTTTCTGATTTTTGAGATCCAACTTCATCACTTCCTGTGGGACATTGAAACAACTGCGAGTGGAAATCCTTCGAATGCGTCAGAATTTCGCGTGCAGCATCTGCATATTTCATCAGTTTCGTTCAAAATAATTTCGGCAAAACCAAATGTTTTTCTAGAAATCATCTGCTTCAAAAAGTGGAAATTCTTCTCGAAATCTAGAAATGGAGATGACAATACAATTTATAGTGAACAAGGATAGAAAATTTAGCAGATTGTTGTTCAGATTTTTGCGAACCACTTCCATCACTTCCTGACGTGCGATATGAAAAAATAATTTGTGACTGCGAATTCCTCAACTGCTACGGCATTTCGCGTGCATCCTCATATTTTATCAAGGTGATTCAAAATATATTCGCTCAGTTTCAGGAAATTTTTTTGTATAGAAATTGCCAGCGTATAAAAGCGGAAAGTTGTCTCGAAATCTGAAATATCGCGGACGTGACGCTGGTGAGAATTATAAGTGAATGGAAGAAATTCCTCCTGTGTGGCGGCGATTCAAAAATCCACAGTCCTTCGCTCATCGTTGTGCGCGTAAATTTCATTGTTTTTCACTTACATAAATTGCGGCTTGATGTGACACATTTTTTCGCGTGTTCGAACAGTGTGGAATTTAGTTTCGTGAATGGAACAATAGATATTCAGTGAAAATGATGAGCATGACGCTTGACGCGGCGCTGCTTTCAGTGGAACAGCGCCGCCCGTCTTTCTTGGATACCAGCGACGTCAGCGGCGGGGCTTCAGTGGGTCGAAATGCCTCCTCTGCTGCAAAACACTACGCTCAACTCAGCAAATTCCGGGACCCTTGCGTGAGTTTTCTTTTCTCGGGCTCACCAGTTTTTATTTCGACACCAATATAGCTCCAGAAGGAACAATTTGGATCGGGTTTAATCAATCATAACGTTGGAATGTAATAATCTGACGCAACACTGCCAATTATCACAACCCTTGACCGGTGAAGTTGAGTTTTTTCCAGAAAATTTTGGTGCCAGCTTTGAAATTAAAACAGGACACTGCATTTAGGGAAAAGTCAGAAAAAAATCTCGTTGTTTCTTAGAAAGCACAAAAAATTGACAAACAAACCATATCCCCGGAGCTGAGCTTTTTTTTAAATCCCCCCTCTGGATTAGTTTCATTCTTTAGAGGTTTCCAATTCTTTCATTTGGGTGCCAGAGAAAGAGTTCCCATTGAAAGGCCACAAAAGATCAATGCAAAAAGTCCATCATCGGGAAATCTCAACAATAACGCATTTTTCCTGGACAAAGTCTGTCTTTGCCCCGGCCCACCTGGTGGCTGGGATTTTTCAAGAAAAATGAATCTCACCATGAAGCTCCATAGTTTAAAAAATGATACGGTAATTTGGAAAGTATNGGGAAATCTCAACAATAACGCATTTTTCCTGGACAAAGTCTGTCTTTGCCCCGGCCCACCTGGTGGCTGGGATTTTTCAAGAAAAATGAATCTCACCATGAAGCTCCATAGTTTAAAAAATGATACGGTAATTTGGAAAGTATTGATTTGCTTGCATATTTGAATATGCAAATTTTAATCTACGCGTGACGGGCGTAGTTTTAAAAATCCGTTTGTTTTAGTGCGTGACTCACGCACTGAAACAAACGGATTTTTAAAACTCTAACGGATTTTTAAATCAGCGTGAGTCGAGGTTATAAATTTTCCTTTTCCGAACTATAACATTATTTGTACAACTGACAGGTCAAATAAGAGTGTAGCTGAAATCGTCAAATTCGTCCTTCTTTCAGGAAAAAATAAAGATCTCTCATATAGATAAATTAAATGTATATGAAAAATAATAGGAAAAAAATGTGAAGCCACTAATTATTGTTGCCTATAGGCACTAACATGCTGCAAATTTTCATTTCTACGACGGAAAACTTGACTATAAAAGTAAAATAGCTATTCCTTCAAAGCATAGATCCCGATCATAGAGATCGCGCGATGGTCGATTTCGAACATACGGATTTGGACAAATAAATCTTTTCCCACATACGTTGAAAGCATATGCATTCGTACCTCATTAGTCATAAATCAAGAAAATAAACTGATTTCTTCGAATTCCAGCTGTGCGAAAAATGTGTTCAGTATATAACTTGAATTACGTTTTACGTTGGAACCACTGCTGGATTACATTCTCCATAGAAAATATCATTTCTGCGGGGTGATATTTTGTGATTAATTTTTTTATTCTGAAACGTTTTCCCCCGCTCTATTTTTTTTCGTAAATGAGTTTTACTGATAGCATAATGTAGGATGTTGGAGACTTCATTTATTTTGTTCTTTGCCAAGTCCATAACACGGTTTTAGTTCTGAGTAAAAGGTACGTATGTTCCTTTAAAAAACGAGATTCCATTACACTCAGCAATTTTTGGCACCGACAAGCAGAAAATTCCAAGTACCACAGTTTGATATGAAAAAAAGTTTCCCACTTCACTTCTGTTTATTCAAATTTCTAAAGTTCGAGAGAAATAGACGAGGATGAGATCACTAAAACGTGCTGAGTAATTGGCTTTGAAATTTGCAGAATTGCTGGTATTCTGAGAGGTAAAACTGAATTTCGTCAAGAAAATTCTTTTCAAAAAGGCAATTTTTGTCTGGAAAGCGCGTTAATTTCGTTAATGCTCAAAGGAAGCTAGTTATACAATCAAGAGTGAGTTAACTTTTTGAGGTTTCTTCCTGTAGTTTTTCCAATGTATGAGTGGCTGATATCAATCTGGAAAAGTTGAATTTGTCAATGAATATTATATGAGAAAAATGCGCAAACGCCTAAAATATAAGGTATATCTCGAGCATTGGAAATAAATTGCCTCCGCCGTTGTACGTAATGTAAGTAATCTGGAGCTTGTCAATTTGCGGGTAATTACTGCTGGCAAGCAAAACAGTTGGTTTATATACACAACGTCCACAGTTTTTTTTTTTTTTTTGCACGTATGAACGTTTTTCAGACTTGTTCGCTGCTTCGTTTCTTGGGATGTGTGTGGCTCGAAACACATAAAAAAGTCATGTACATGGAGTCCCCTTGAGATACCCATTCTCAAAGGGTAAATTCGTGGGCACATCAAAAATTGAATCATTGAGCAAAAAAAATCCTAAAAACTGAGTTGGGAATTCAACCCCCTAATTTTACAACAGCTCATCAGCAGGAAAATCCCAATGCGCAGCAATAAATGTCGAACCTTCGACAGATCCTCCAGAAAAAATTATTTTTAAAAATTTCTTGTCTTAATGGACCGAAAAAAACCCGCTCTAGCTCCTCGAAGAAAATGGAAAAATCCTTCCAACTGGAATCAGGAAACGGGTATTTTGTAACATAAAGAAGGATCAAGAAAAACAAGTACTTACAGGTGATCCTCTAAAAATCTTCGGTAGAAAGCTCAAGTCGATGAGAAGGAAAAAATACTGAATAAAAAGTATGCATTCGGGTTTGAGCAAGGGAACAAAACTTCAAAATCCGAAGCTTCCAAGAATTCGTTGAATCACCAGAAAATGTGAATTTTTCAGTAAAGTTTTGCGTGACTCTTTTATTATTGTTTGATATTCATTTTGAAAACATAGATCCATACCTTTTTCTTCGGGATCCAAGATCATCACTGATTTCTGCACCATTCCAGTGCTGAATTCTATATGAATTCCCCATCATTCAATTTTTTTTAATTTTCAGCAGGACACACTTGAAACTCACCCACCGCCATGAAATTTCAAATTTCACCAAAAGCGGCCTTTTAAAAAAGTCAAACTCAGATTGGTGATGCTCAGCTTAATCCTTCACTCGCCAATGGGATCCGGATTTTTTATGTGAACGTGGAAAAATACTTGAATAGCGTATTTTCACAAGTCCACATTTCGGACCTTGAAATATATTCCAGATGCCGGCAGGTTATTTTTCTTTGATTTTTAAATGTCCGGGTGTTTGATGGGAGGGATCCCACTGTACTATAGTCGTCTTTTTGGCTCTGGTCCTGGCATGCGTTGTAAATTAGCTCAAAATTATTGTGTCTCAAGAAATGCGCCAAGGCGAATCTTTTCTTGCTATGTCTTAAAATTCAAAACACGTGAATCAACAATTTTGCGAAACTATTTCCTGCACACTGCACTCAAGTTATTCTGCAAGTAAATTATCTCTACAATAATTTACATAATGCTGCATCACCATCACTACACAATACTCAAAAACCAAACAAGTCTCAATGGATTTTTACGAGTCTGGCATGTTTCATTTTGGACAACTGATACTTCTTTAAAACTTAAATTTTAAAAGCACATGCTCGTTGTTGTAGCCTCTTGCGCATTCTTGTGTTCAACACCCTGACTTCATTCGTGAATCTTATCAGCATAAAATATTACAAACATAAAGCATATACATAGGATCAGTTTCATATGCTTGAGGGTGCTATAACGTTCCTCTTTGTGTCAGTACGGATGCAAGCCGTCATAAACAAACATTGGAAAAAGTCTACTACTACGTACAATTCTCGATAAAGGTCTCAAGTTGTTTCTTCACTTATTAATATTTATTTTGAAGTGTCGGTAGTCGGTCCCTTCATGGTCTTTATTTTGTAAAAAGGGTTTAACTTTTGTGAAAAAAGTTTCTCAACATTGTGTATCAGTTGCCCCAATTTCAATGTAAATCAGTGCAATTTGTATCATTATAACAAACCAAATCATTTGATCAAATGATTTGGTATAACAAAGTTGATTCTTCTATAGCACAAGGACATTTATGCTTCAGGAGCTGGAAAAGTTATATGAGATGAATGCTTTCGGGATTTTGCTCTGTGTGCATTTTTGCAGCTGTATGAGGCTGGTTTTTAGTTGAATGCCTCTTGTTGTATAGAAACTGGAAATTTGCAGTAAAGTTTCTAAAGTCCTATTTGTCCAAGGATAGAAACTAGCCAGAATTAACCCTTGGGCAGTGGCATGTGCATTTTCATTGCGCAGTGGAGTAGAGGAATAAATCAACCAAAAATGAAGAAGTGAACCATAGTGCAGTGGAAGAAAGTGGTAAGAAATAACCAGGCAGGACAATCAGCCGGTTTGTGGCCAGTAATATGTAATTAAGGTTGCACTTAATCACATATCCCTAGTTTTTCTGGTTTAATCATAGTCCACAAAAAATCACAATACAAGAAAACAATATATTACAATAAATTTAAAAATGCAACAAGCATGCAATGAATGCAACAATAAATTTGTTCACACAAATTTAGGATGCAATATCACAATGCAATAATGCAAGGAAAATGGGTTTGAGATGTATTAGGGATGGTTACAGTAACAGCTAAATGAAAGAACGGATTGATTGAGAGTGGAAGAGTGCTGAGTTGTGATTCAAATGTGATTCAAAGAAGTTGCATCCAATTCTTGTGGATGCACAAAGGAAAATGAGACAAGATTTCAGATCCCAGGACCTGACATCTCAGGGCCTGAGTTTTGATTCCTCATCAGGTGGTGCCAGGAAATTCCCACAAGCTTGTGCATTTTGGTTTGACCAAAGGTCACCAAAATGCAGCTTTGGCTATGTAGCCAAAGTTGGGAAAAATCCTGGAGAGCAAAAGCCATTGTCTTCAATATCCCTGTTGCTGCAATGCAGAAAAAATATAAATGATTTAATTCTCACAACAGTTTTTTTGCATGCAGAATTTAAAAAAAAAATTGGGGATTTTTCTTGGCTTTGACTCTTGAGATCATTCTGGGTACCAGATTTTATTTTTATTTTTCCTGTGGCACAGATTTGTTTGAATGAATCCAGGCAGTGGCGCCCAGCAAGGGTTACATTGTATGCATTCAATTACAA